TAATTTATCCTTAATATGAGAAAAAATACTTCATGTCCCTCCCTTTTTTTTTTAAATAAAATTTTCTATATTGTTATAGATCTGTGGACTAATGCTGTTTGTTTAGGGGGTCTCAGGGCTAATTGTTCCTCATAAGTTACAGGATATGGTTCTTGGGAAGAAATACAATGTTTTATATGTTCTATCGTGTTAATTTGTGTCAGTAGTTATCTGCTTAGTTGTGGGAATCAAGGCAACTATGGTAATTGGAAGTAGATGTCTTTCTATAACAGAAAAGGAATCTCAAGGTGAGTGAAAGGTACCATTATTGGAACACAAAAATAAAACAAAATAAAAGAGAACATGTGTAGATATGGAACAATTTGTTGCTGTCTACAGATTCCCAATGCCTGAGGCATTGTATATCATTTCAGTTCTACACTCAGCCAGTATAGCTTTTACTGTATGTTAAAGGTTTTGTTCTGCTGGAAGACGAATGTCTACACCAGTTTTAGGTTCCTTGTAGAGTGGAACAGTTTTTATTTCTTATATAATTATCCTGTATTTGACTTCATTCATCTTTCTCCCAGTCCTGACCAGTTTCCTAGTCTCTGTTAATTGAAAGCATATCCACAAAATTATGCTGTCATTGTCATGAACCAACGGGAAAGGTGTCCTCCATGCGATAAATAATCTTTTGCTTGGATCAAAAAGTTGCATTTGAACTCATTAGACTTTCATCCACATGCTTTTGTCTCCCATATATACTTTGGTGAACTCTGTACAGGATTTGAGGTCAACTAGAGACAGGTCATATTACATTTGCTCGTGTAACTTGCTAGTGCTAAGAGATCTAGGCCAGCTCATCCTTTCCATGACAGGAACGAACTGTCACAAGATCTAATTAAGTCCTAACTTAAAAATTAAGTTGAAATTACGATGCAAGTTGGCACGGAGACATGTCTGCAATTTTCTTACAATAAAGGTTCCCCAAAAACGAAACCTCATTATAAATCAAAAAGACATAATTAGCATTCTAAAATATTGAACAAAACTCAATAACACATTCTACCATAGGTTTACTACATTGTCTAAAAGAAATCCACGTCAGACACGATCTAGAATTCAGCTTTGAAGTATAGAAAAATCTTAAAAACAAACTAATGCTCGCACAAGCAAAGCAATGCTTTAAATGTGAAATATTTAAAACTCACTGGCTCTTTACCTTTACTAGCACAATTTATAGCCATTTTATCCTTGCTATAAAAATATATTCAGTATTTTCACTCTTTGCATGTGTGACGGCATGAAATACTACAGGACTAGAAAATATAATTACAAATGACAAGCATATTTCTGGCAGTTTTAGCACGCTGTTTAATCACACCCTTCTTGATTCCCAAAGTCTTGTGTTGTTTATCTGCTCTTTCAGTATCTATGTGACAGATTTTCAGAAGACCTGCGGGGCTGCAGAAGAACTCTGTCCTCTACAGAGGCCCCAAAACATTTCCTGGTTGAGTGGCATGCTGGTGACGCGAGAGCAGCTTGCAACAGGTGTCACTTTAAATAAGTGTCAAATATTCAATCCTCTGGCACTAAACTTGCCCAGCTGAGGATCAGTACACAGAGCAATGGTCAAAGTACATTGCAGAGAAAGTGGTAGCATTATACTTACGCATAAACTCTGCTTCAAAGAGAGTCTGATTTATTACACCAGTCACACAATGAGGTTAATAATCTGAAAAGGGGTTCCAACAGGGGGGAGGGGGGGTAGAATGCTACACTGAGGTTTTTCCTTGGACACTGAGACATTTAATACCGATTTGTCCTTTCTAGATATTTATTGCAAACCAATACATTTTCTGAGTGTCATTGCAGTTAAAGAGACACTATAGTCACCAGAACAACTACAGCTTATTGTATTTGTTCTGGTGAGTATAATCATTCCCTTCAGGCATTTTGCAGTAAACACTGTTTTTTTTTTCCAGAGAAAGGGCAATGTTTACATTACGGCTTAGGGATACTTCCACTGGCCACTCCTCAGATGGCTACTGGAGGTGCTTCCTGGGTCAGCGCTGTAAAATGAGCAGCACTTCCATTCAATGCCTCCACCCTCTGCATAGAGACACTAAACTTTCCTCTGTGATTGGCTCAGAGAATCACTTTTGATGATGTCAGCCAAGCAGGCAGGGCAGAGCCAGCAGCTGCAGACTTGACTCATATATGAAGGAATAAGTAAGCACATACATTTAATGCTTATTAGATGACCTTCTTTTCATGATCTATGTGGTTATGTTTCTCAATCATTAACAGGTGCACTTAAACATATTAAATGTTCCATTATCCTAAAGCTCTTGATGGTAGCTAAAACTATTAACCTGAGAACATGTAAGGTGCCAGCAACTCCATCATTTCACTCTCGGGTAGAGGCGGTTGAGGAGGTAGAATGGCCAGAAGACCTATTTGCCCAGGACCTTAAACAATGTTAGTCCATTGGTTGGACTTCCTCTCTTCCTGTAAGTTTGTACAGCTAGACCAGAATGGTGGTGGATTGTGGGTCTCTTCCCCTCAGATGCCATTAGCCAGGTGGCATGGTGAGGGGTTGGAAATGGGCAGTAACTATCTCCTTTGTGAGCAAGTATGTATACATGGGTTTAGCCATGTATCATTTTCTTCTCGAACTCCCCTAAAGTGTGTGTCCTTAACCTCCAGCCTCTTAACCCTTTAACATCTTTTCCAACCAAGTTAAGGTAGAGGCCTAGAACAACTTGTACAGGCGTTTAGTGATTTCCTCCAATTTGAGAGCCTACTTAGGGCTGATAATTCATTCTAAATATGTTCATTTTCTAGCTTAGTTTATATTAGCACCATCCATTGCTTCCAAACCTCTAATCATTTCAACACTAGTACATTTTCATTTTGGATTGTAAAGTTGAATCAAGTTTATAGAAACGTAGAATTAACAACTTAATGGGCTGGGTCCCAGGTGTATATGGTTTATGAACTTTTTAGTGTCAATCGGGTTTTATATTTTAGTTTGTCTATAGTCAACACACAATCAAAAAGGTCGCAGATGGGTGGGCAGGTTGGGGACTACTCAATATCCTCAGCCCAGCCCATTAACTTGTGTCCTCTGTACTGGACATTTCATTCACATACATCTTTTATTCTTTTGAGCTACTCTATCAATCCCTGCTGTATTGTAAAGAGGACATGCTGGCCTTTCCAATGATATGTCACGTGACATGTATTCCTTTTTACCAAAAATAGAAAATAATTGGAAGACAATGTTTTTCCTCGGTTCCCAGGAGAATATAGGGATATGGACTCATTTTCTTAAAATACCCTTGTTAATATTTATTGCTGCGGATGTAGAACAAATGTAACTTTGTGAACTTTCCAGGTTTGTTTTGCATTGTATTATCGCACTGTCTTTCCTTAATAGAGATATTTACAAAAAAAATGTATAGAGGGTCAATATAAGTACAGCTGCATTTACCCTAATCAACCATATCATAAAAAAAACCACTGCAGGTGAAGTCAATAACATTAATTACATTGTTACAATGGCACCTGTGGGATATATTCGGCAGCGAATGGTCAGTTGAATTTCATGTGTTGGAAGCAGGAAAAATGAGCAATTGAAAAGATCCGAGCGACTTTGACAAGGGCCAAATAGGAATGGCTAAATGACTGGGTCAGAGCATCTCCAAAATGGCAACTCTTGTAGGGTGTTCCTGGTATGCAGGGGTTAGTACATACCAAAAATGATGCAAGGAAGGACAAGTGGTGAACGAGCTTCAGGATCATGTGTGCCCAAAGCTCATTGATGCACGTGGGGAGTGAAGACTAGCCTGGCTGGTCCGATCACACCGAAGAGCTACTGTACCTCAAAATGCTAAAAAACGTAATGCTAGCCATGTTAGAAATGTAACAGAACACACCGTACATTGCAGGTTGATGCACAGCCGCAGACCTTCCAGAGTGCCTATGATGAACCCTGTCCCATGCTGAAAGCTCCTTCAGTGGAGACGTGAGCATCAGAAGTGGACCATAGGGCAATAGAAGGTTGCTTGGTCTGATAAATCACATTTGCTTTTAAATCAGGTAGACGTTCGGGTGTGTGTCTTATGTACCTGGGGAAGAGTTGGCAACAGGATGCACTATGGGAAGATGGCAGGCTAGTGGAGGAGGTGATATGCTTTGAGCAAGGTTTTACTGGGAAACCTTGCTGGGTACTGGAAATCATATGGATGTAACTTTCCCACGTGCCACCTTCCTAGAGATTGTTGCAGACCACACACCCCTTCATGGCAATCTTACCTGCTGACAGTGCCCTTTTTCAGCAGGATAACGCACCCTGCCGCACTGCAAAAATTGTTCAGGAATGGTTTGAGGAGATAAAGAATTTAAGGTGTTGCCTTGGCCTTAAAAATCCTCCGCTCTCAATCCGATTGAGCATCTTTGGGATGTGCTGGAACAACAAATCCAAGCCACGGAAGCCTCACCTCGCAACTTGCAAGACTTAAAGGACCTGCAAATGTCTTGGTACCACATGCCACAGGACACGTTCAGAGGTCTTGTTGAATCTATTCCTTGATGAATCAGAGCTGTTTTTGCAGCACAAGAGATACCCATGTGATATTAAGCAGGTGCTATTAAGCTCAGTGAGTAGGGTAAAGCAGCAATGCGTTTTCCTTATATAAAAAAAACCCTCCCCCATCCTTTATTTATACTATCTTTTTTTCATTGTGCTGGTTCCTAATATCTGATTCCTCTGACTGATGGATTAAAGGTAACTTAGCTAAGCAACTGTGCTTGAGCTTTACCTATTGCCAAAGATCATGCAACCCATCATACCATTTCTTATGTATAACTGAAAAGTGCAGGTGAATTTCCAAGTAATAAAAACAATGGAATGTAGAGGGAAAAATTATTTAAAAACAAAACCTGCAAAGTGACTCATCACTAGAGAAATTAATCAATGCTGCTCAGGTATCTCAATAAAAAAGGACAAAATGTGATTTTTATCTTACTTTTTATTTACAGTAACATAAGTTAACTTTGCACATACCAAACCAAATTAAATAAAGAACTTTCCTTCCAAAGTAATCTGTCATTTCTATTAGCTGTCTAACCAAGACACAGCCCTGTGACCTAGGAGGAGAATGAGAAGTCCTACACTACAAGGCAAACTGAAAACATTCAGGTGATATAAGAAATTCTAATGATTTACACTTTAATCAATCTTACATGCCATTCTCTCCATGAATGGTTTGAAACTCCCTTTTGATCGGCTGTACAAGGGTTAATAACTGCAGTTCTCTAGTGCAATGAGTGCAGTGATAACGCAGTGCAGAACAGAGGGATGATCTTTGAAGCACCAGTCATTAGAGGACAGGTCGATTTACATAAATTATTTAGAATCACATAGGTGGCAAATGTACTACTTTTCTGGGTGGGAGGGCATTCAGTGCACACAACATCACACGTCATCTTTGGAAACCCACAGGGCCTGTAAATATTGTTGCAGCATCACTGGGTAATTTATTCTGCCAAGGTTATCTGTTTAAGGACCAACGATGGTCTAAACTATCATAACAATGTGGTTTTTAACTAGTGTAATCTAATCTGGAATGCTTAACTCAGTTACTGCAGGTAGTAACAGAGCTACCACCAGTGTTAAGTATAGAAGGCAAGACATGCAATCCTTCAATAGGGGCTAATAAACTCTTTCTCTGCCTTTTAAACAAGGTGCATTTAACAAGCTAGCTACTACTCAAGTGCTTCCAACAAAGGCTACAATTACAGTTCTTAAAAATACGAAACGAACACTGAAGATTATCTCACCCACCCAGCCGCCACTTTGTACAGTTTAGATAATAAAATACCTATAAAGAGGGCGAAAGCACACGGATGTGTTGTGTTCTGTATAAACACATCATAGCTAACGGTTAGGCATGGTCTAAATAAAAAGACCTGTTACAACACAGTTTTATGTATGTTTAGGTTACAGTGTGCCATTTAGATTTTAACACACAGTAGTGTAAACAAATATATAATTATAGTTTCAGGCGAATTGATTTGTTCCAACACCCAGCGTTCAGTCAGTTCCCTCCAACTCCATAACGTCACCAGTGTAAAACGGCGTATTCAAGATCCAGAGAGTGCAACTAAAGTTATGGGACAAGATATGTGCTCTGCCGCTTCTCATAAACAACCACAGTTTTGTTTGAAGCATAGAAATACAATACAATATATTTACAACACAACTGTTCTACATAGAATATAGTTTTTCATTTCACCATCACTTCATGCATCACAGGTTTCCTGGCATTAAAAGGGGCTCAAGTGAAAATGTCACCGTTAGTAACCATAGTCTCCCAAGAACGCAAGGGACAAATGTTTGTCTTCGATCACGATTGACCAGCTACGTGCTGATGACAGGGATGTGAAAATCCTTATGGTCAAAGATAAGAGGTCTTTTGGGAGGATTGGTGTCCTTGTCTGCTCTATGGAGAAGTTTGAAGAGGCCAGTTCCAATGTTCATTGGGATACCCATTATGATGCATTCTGAGACCCCTAAATAGTGAGAGAAGAGGGTCAGTGAGCGCTCATCAATGACAAATTGAAACACTTTCCTCAGTATAGAATTTAAATGCTGCAGGAAGAACATCTGTTATTGTATCAATACATTTCCTTTGGTATTAATTTGATTAAGTGACTTCTCCCCTGCACCATGTGATATGTATCTACTGCTTAACATTATGAAGAAATGTTGTATCTAATAATATGCACTTTTACTAGGGGACAGAGAGTGAGTGACAAATTAAGAAATGCTCACGGACATTTAGCTTACAAATAAGTACAGAATTGTTTGGTTTTACATACCGTATATACTCGTGTATAAGTCGATCTCATGTATAAGTCGAGGGCACGTTTGTGACCAACAATTGTGAAATATGCTATGCCTCGTGGATAAGTCGAGGGTAAAACTTGGGACTATGAAATTCTGTGATTTTAGAATTTTATACACACACACTCATACAAACACACACTCTGCATTATATACACACACACACACTCAAACAATCTGCATTCTACACACACACTCATACAAACACACATACTCTGCATTATATACGCACAAACTCTGTGTGTATATAATGCAGAGTGTGTGTGTGAATGCAGATTGTATGAGTGTGTGTGTATATAATGCAGAGTGTGTGTTTGTATGAGTGTGTGTTTGTGAACTGGGTGGAAGGAGGGCATTTTTATTATACATTTTTTATTTTAATATTGTAAGTTTTTTTCTTTTCTTTTATTTGAATATTTAAGTTTTTTATTTTTTTATATTAAGTTTTTTCTTTTCTTTTATTTGAATATTTAATTTTATTTTATTTTAATATTTTAAGTTTTTTTATTTTAATAGTTTTTATTGTATTTTTTTTTTTTGTATATTTAATTAAATAAAATTTTTGTCCCCCCTCCCTGCTTGTTAGCTGGCCAGGGAGGGGGGCTCTCACTCCCTGGTGGTCCAGTGGATGGGCTGTGCAGGAGGGGGGGGCTGACAGTGAGAGTTAACTTACCTTCCTGCAGCTCCCTTCTCCTCAGTGCAGCTCCTCTGTCAGCTCCCACTGGAAGTCTCGCGAGAGCCGCGGTGACCCCGCGGCTCTCGCGAGACTTCCAGTGGGAGCTGTCAGAAGAGCTGCACGGAGAAGGGAGCTGACAGGAGCTGCAGGAAAGGTAAGTAACCTCTCACTGTCAGCCCCCAACAGGACCGCCGGGCTTGTAATGAGCCCGGCGGTCCTTGTCTGTATTATGGCAATATAAATTGCCATAATACAGACATTAACTCGAGTATAAATCGAGTGGGGGTTTTTCAGCACAAAAAATGTGCTGAAAAACTCGACTTATACTCGAGTATATACGGTAGTTAATAATTTACTCTAATTTACTTGATATTGATTTTATTGTGCATTTGGGAGATTAAACATCACATTTAGGTGCTTAAAAAAATACAAAGAAATTAAACTTAAAAACACAATGCTTTGCATGTTTGCAAAAGGCTTTGTGTCTGTATTAGTTAAGTTTTGGGTGGGTTTCAAGACAATAGTAAGACTTTAATTTTAGAAACTGGTAGGAAAACAGCCCCCAAAAAATGTCTGTTAGGTTTTTAATATTTAAGCAGCGGATATTAGAGTATAGTCCAATATAGGTAAAATACATAACCACTGAGATCTCTCACCGCACACAGAATCCTTCTGTCCAAAATAGGCCGCATCAAAAAGATGATCAGCGGTCTTCTCAAAGGAAGCCAACATCAAGACGCTTTCCTTCATTTTTGCCAAGCCAAAGCGAGTGATGCCCAGGACTTCACCCTATAAGAAAGAGGGCGGAAAAGGGAATGGTGAAACTGGAAATCTAGAAGAAAAGTCAGAGTTTGGGAGCAGATGTGTAGTAAAAAAATAAATAAAAAAAAATAAAAATATTTAAAATTAATAAAACAATGGTTCAACCAGTACTGCTTTCTGGTGAAACTTTATTTGCACACTGCAGTGGCTTAGTTACAAAACTTAAAGGGACACTATAGGCACCCAGACCACTTCAATGAGCTGTGCAGTGTCCCAGCCCCCCGAGGGTTCAATATAAAATTCCAGTGCTTATAAAGTGCTGCATACCAAAGCTCCTCGTTTTAACTTCATGAATAAATAGCCACACTTCACTAGCCTGCTTTTCTTCCTTTATTCTAAATGTGACATAATAACCTCTGAAGTACATTCTATCCTAATAATTAGTAGATCTCAGTTTTCACCAGATGTGCTTTACTATGGTTCATAAAACATGAAGGGAGTGTGTGTGTGTGTTTAAGGAGGCTTTCAAACACAACCTGATGTGGGATTTAACATGGCCACACTCCAGATGGTGCATAATTTTCATTACACCGGCCCTATATGTGACAAAAATCTGCATTTTAACCACTTAATGCTGTTAGAGCGTTTCTACATAAAGTAAGGCTGCATAAAATACCCTGCATATTTAGTGTGAGCAGGGTTAAATCTCTGCTCACACCAGGTAGTACAGACATCAATGGACACCTGGTACGGCTCCTCTGTCAGCTGGGGCCAGTTTAAGTGGCACAGACTTTTTTTGATGAGCTGTTTGCTGTGCCTGAAGTAAGCAATGCAAAGTGCTTTTTAAATAGGCATTTATATGCATATAACTAGATTGCAGTGTGAGTAGGGTTAAACCCCTGCTCACACCAGGAAACCCAGGTATCCATAGATACCTGCGGCTCCTCTCTGTCAGTGGAAGCCATTTCTAGTAGCCCGAGACTGACAGCCTAGCTGCATGCAAAGCTCAGAGTGAGATCAACATGCAGTTCTTTCACTGGGGATTTAAATCCCCATAGACAGCAATGTAGTGTGAGCATGGCTAAACCCTGCTCACATCAAGAAAACCAGGTATCAATAGATACCTGGGGCTTCCCTCTGTCAGTTGGGGGTCTTTTTTGTGGCCCCAGACTTTTGATGAGCTGCAGGCTGAAAGTCAGCATATGTCACATCAAATTAAAGCCCTTTCTGTCCCTATGTATTGGGGAATTTGAAGTGAATCCCTTAAATTGCAGTGGAATAAAGCTATAGCTCAAATACAAGGTTTTTTTTTGGTTCAGTAACAGGGATGGTTAACCTCTGGTTAAGATGCAAAGTCAACTAAATTACAGGGACTTTATAGTCACCAGAACAACTACAGCTTAATGTTTCAGAGAAAAGGAGGTTTACATTACAGTCTAGGGGCACTTCAAATGGCTTTAGATGGCTACTAGAGGTGCTTCCTGAGGCAGTGTTGCACAGTGTGCAGCACTGCCATTCAGTGTCTCCACCCTCTGCATGGAGACACTGAACTTCCCTCATGAGGAGATGCTGATTGGCCAGGGTAGCGTTTAGCTCCACCCCATGCCAGCCGCCCTGGCTGAAATCATCAGAATTGACAATCTCAGCCAATCCAATGCTTTTCTAACATATCATCAGTCAAGGCAGCAGATCAGGGGCAGAGCCAACACCAGCAGACTGGAAAAAAGGTACGATTTTAATAGATTTAGGGAGGCAAGAGAGGGCAAGGGGGGCTAGGCAGTGATTTTAACACTATAGGGTCAGCAATACATGTTGGTTCCTGACCCTTTAGTGTTCTTTTAATGTCTCCCTCCACTGCCACAGACAACATAACAGGAAAATGAAACTTACCAATCAGGCTCTGCACCCCATTGTGGCAAGTAAAGGTTCTAACTTCTCATTTCAATGCCCCCTGTCAACAGCAAAGCTCACAAAAAATTGCTGATATTCAGAGGATGCCCTCTTTCAGCCATCCTGATTAATCCAGTAGGATAATTCCTGTCTGGTACAGTAAGATGCATGAATATGTACAAGCACCCAGAGAGAGTAGGCATGCTTTACTACAATATTTACTGTGGTTTGTGAGAGATACAAGTACTGGTACCTGAATTCTTACACTCTCCAGGAAATTTAGTTCCTGTAATGTCGGACTTAAAAAAATTAATATTATATATATATATATATATATTAAATATATATATATATATTAAAAAAAAAAAAATCTATGTCAGCATCACAACCGGGTTAGCTATGCCCACTTGGCTGTGTAGGACGGGATATTAATTATAGATAAGACATTTTCCATAGGTCTCCATATTTCGTTCCTGCTCTCTTGGTTGTGTAAATGTATTATTACCTAACTTTTTATTTTAGCTTGATTTGGCTAATTTTTATTTGGTATTTCCCAAGAGAGATCAGCCTTCCTTCTCTTGGATGCCCCCACTTATTTAGGAACAGCCACTGGGGAGGAGGGTTATCCTTAGTTACAGGAACTCTATCAAATTTGCAGGGATCCTTCGCGTAGTGTTATTGGAGATTAACTTTTACTGCAACTTTGTTTTTGTTATGGAGACCTCCATGTTAGCATTATAGGGCTTTTACAGTAATGCTCTTTGGTTATATACATGTTTGTCAACAGCAGTTTATTCTACTCGTCTCTCCTGCTCTTTCTGATTTTGCAGCATCTTCAATTCTG